GGAATGACGAGTACACGCTCGCACTAACGACATTTTGTGAGAGATGAAGGGAACTGGATCAGCAGTTGGCTTTATACTTTGTTTTATTTGTCACCTTTGTTTGCTCGCTGCAATAACAAAAAGCACTTTGGGCTGAGTCTTGTAAAAAAAAAAATAATCGAAATCAAGAACAATGCAATAGTAGTACTGGTCAATTAGACAACTCGATACCACGTCCCACTTTCATTGTCTTTCACGATAACACCGCACCCTTGTCCAGGCGGCAACACTGGGCACAGTTACGGCATGAAAAATGCGCGGCCCTTTGAACGACACAATGTAAAAAGCGACATGGCATCGTTCCAGCAAGAGACATTTCTAGACACGAACATGTCCCGCTCACGGACAAGCAAATTTTCGGAGAATGTGACGAAAGTGGCGCAGCCGTGACAAGAGCAGAACCGGAGCAGAGGTCAAATGCCCGACTGGCTTTTCTCATGAAGCGGGGCAATTCTTCTCATGGTGGTCGTTGGCAGCTTCCCCCAGCTCTAGCTTTGCTCTGACAAAGCTACACAACGAAGCAAAGCATAATTTCAGTTCGACAACAACCTTCCTTCTGCCGCCACCACTTTCAAAAGCACAAGGACAATGGTTCTGATAAACTTAGTAACTACAAGACTGACAGAGTTGCAGTGTGCAAAACCTTGGGCAATGCAAAGCGATGCGACGCTTCGTTGTAAAAAGAATGGCGGAGAGCACCACAGGAAGAAGACTGCGTAGCAAAGCTGTGATTCCGGAGAACGTCGGATGCAGCTGTCAACGCAGGTGTAACGAGGCCATAGTGTGGAAGTCCAATGTAAAGACATTATGCACACACATTCTTGTTCGTAAACAGGAGGCACACCGGCGTTGACCAGCCACGAGCAATGACATGCTAATTCAAGACAAAACATGGCCATTCCTGTTTGTACGATGAAAGCAGCAAAAAGTGCAAGCTTACAACATATCACATTATGCCAAATAAGATTTGGCAATACATACCGTAAAGCATATGCAGAAGGTAGTGCGAAAGCCTAAATGAAGCACTCCCTCAAGCTGTGCACAAGATGACGCTATCCCATGCATGATCATCAGCTGCCTTCGATTGGAAGTCTCTTCTCATGTTTACAGCATGCAAAGCTAGCATTTTCTCGCAAGTTCGATGTGAAACGCATATTTGTAGACAGCCCCTAGAGAGCAGCTATAATGCTTTAGAAGCTGCGGGTTTGTTCGTAGGAGCAATTTGCATTGTCCAAGGTTGCAGCATTTCGTCAGACAGCTATTGCATACATCCATTAATATTGAGAGGTAGAACATTAAACTCTTTTTTAAAACAAACGTAAAGCTTACAACGCAACTTACAGCCAATAACATCTGCGGTTTTTCACAGATGACTCGGTGCATAAGCAGTCTGTCTGCAGAATGCTTCACAGTTTATTAAAAGCTACTGCGAGAGTTCCCATTTAAAATCTTTGCATTGCGAGAGGCACAGGAAAACAACAGAATGCTTTCGGCATAAACTTTATCAGAACTGACCAATCTAATTGAATCTGATAAGTCAATCCAGACTGCGCACCCGGCAATCCGGATCAAATGATCACGATATCAGGATCAGGATTGCATGTAACCTCCTGAAGCACTAAAACATGCAGATGAAGTGGTCATACTGAAAAGGTGACAAACGGCACATGCACCAAACAGGCCAGTACCCAGTCGGCTAGCGACGTGGCAGTTGCAACAATCACGGAATCAACAGGCTAAAATCACGAGTGTCTGTATAGACGGTACTGGTAACTAGGCAGTGATGAAGGGTGCTGCTAGAGGTTGTAAAACTCGGAGTCTCGCTGGAAACGACAACCTGTTTGGTGCACGTGCACCTACTAGTCTGCTACGAGAACGATGACAAAACGTGGGACGTGTCTCGCAGCTGTCCGCTTTGCGGGGGTGGGGGAACACTTTTAAACCAGATACTACTGACGAAGTGAGAGATTAAAAGAACTTACACTTAGACACTCTCGAACTGATCGACTGTGCGGAAAAAACAAAGCAGGTACCTTAGGTGAAACGCAGAATTAAAAGAATACACCATATACACTACCAAACTGACTGTTTCCGCAGAGCGGAAAGCAGAATTGAAATGTAGTCCTTGCATGGCAATGGAGAGTGGGGTTCACCCACGGCAAACAACGCACACCACATTTTCTTGTTTTTCGCGATTGCCGTAGCTCTGTCTGCGTTGCGAATTGCGCACAGCGCTCAGGACCATAACGTCTCACGACCTGACACTAGTGAACTACTTCTAGTAATTCTGTCACTCTGGCACAAAGCACAAGCACGCATGCGTGAGAAACCCCCTCTCACGATGTGTTGACAAAAGGGACTGTGATCGTCGAACAGGCTGCATTTGCGAGTCGAACAAGTAATTTTGGCATTGCACCATCTCTGTTGTGGTCAAGATACACTGGCTTGAGCGCTCCTCTCACGGCCCCCCTCGATTTACAGATTGCCGAAGGCCCGAGTCGATAAAGCTCCAGTCCGCTTGAGTTCTAGCTGCCTGTGAGAACATAAAACGCCACGGACAGATTTTTCTTATGACTTTTCTAATGCAATGATTAAAGCAGTAAATCATGTAGAAGCACTATTCATTCAAAGTTTTTGCAATTCCACACATAGTTGCATCCTGCTTGAGATAACTAAATGCGGGGAACTGCAAATTATTGTTCAAGTTGAGAACACCAAACAAGACACCGTTAAAAGGTTTATAGGGTTAATACTGGAACTCGATCAATAGTTATTTTACAAAGTAATGGGCGGAGGTGAGCGGCTTGAAAGTACAGGGCACTCTTTCAACTCTGTATTTGGACCGGCGAATGCATGACGCGACTATTAGCATCCAGTTTGAATTTGATGTTGCACCAAGCATGGACGCTTTAATGTCCGATATGGACTTGGCTTGAAGACAATTGGAGTGAATGAAAACTGCAGTGAACGAATTCCAAATCAACACTCTGCAGCTTGCTGCTCACCAGCAACTTCCATTGCATTTGCACAACCTGAAAACAGACGTGCATTTCCGGGGGGTGCGCGGAGTGGCCACACTAAGCTCGTGCCCCCCCCCCCCCCCCTCTGAAATTGTTTTTCGCCATAGTGTAGAGAGCGAAATATGACCATTTCAAGGGTTTTTTACCTCTCGAAATCAAGGTGGCGCCTCTTCCCTAGAAAAATTTCTGGCTACGCCCCTTAAGTGTTTGAGTGCACAGGCTAGATTCTGAATAAGTGCAATCCCACTGAGAAAAAGGGTGTCTACAAGTTCATCTCAGATTATTTTGGGTTATTTAGAATTTTTAATAGTCAGAGTCCACATCATAGTCACTTGACTGCAGGTTTGCTTGCAAATTAATTTTGCATGCTGTTCCATCTATGTATGCTGTTGCTTTGCTGTACTTTCATGGTGCTGCATTGTTTGAAACCTATACATTATATTATTTTGCAGCGAAATTACCATTGTTATTACTTTCCTGCTTTAAGCAGCCTCACATACAAAAGCCCAGTAGAAAAGTTACTTGTTAAAAACAGATTATGTGAACGGTTTCGGAGAAACTCAATTTCGTTTCCAAAGACAAAACTTGAAAAACAATAATGTAGAGGGTCCAGATAAGTTATGCGGTTTGCTTTAGTCTGTATACTTGCTTGTCTGTGGAAGCATGCCAGACTATGGCAAGAGTTTGGATCCCAGTCTCAACAACATCGGACAATAGCCAAACAAGTAATTGTTGCCTTGTGCAGCAGACTTTTTCGAAATACTCCAGTTCATCGTGTTTGAAGGAATGAAGCCTGAATTTCTTGTTCTTCAGTGGTGCAGAATAGGAAGATGCCACAATCTGCACACGCTGACGACCGCTGCAAGGGGTTGCACGCACAGTACGCAAATTTGCAACGCACAAGACGAGTGCGTTATACTAACGCTTTCAAAAAATGTTGTCAATATCCAACCATACACGTAGACATTGCATAGTTTGCAAGATAAGCTGCGCGGAAGAAAGACACGGTTTTCACTGCCGAACAAAGAAGCGTAGCATGCGGTGGAAGACCCACGCAGACATAATGTTGGAGAAGCTAAAATGACTGTGCAGTAACTCCGGTCCCGAGGAATGTTTGTCAAGAGACGGCAGCAAAGCGAGAGAACATTGCAAGACTGTTTAATATATGCCTGGATCCCTTTTGTTTTAGTCACACGTGTCAAGCTCGACACCGCAATCCAGCTGTCGGTTCAAAAGATAGCCTCTGATGATTTCTGACTAGAACGATCATAACTTCCACTTTGAAGTGTACCTGTAGACACAGACTGCCCGACTGAGCCCAAGTTGAAGTGTATCTGCTGGAGTGCCAAACCAAAACAGCCCGATTGTACCTAATCACGACGACCATAAATTTCAGGCACTACATCCCACCAGGTACAGGAGAGGATTGTGCAAAAGACTGTCACGGTGAACTTGTTTTGTTCCTTTAGAAAAACTTGCAGCGGCACTTGCGTTGGGCTTGAAGAATTGCCGCTCGAAATAAATAAACGCCTGCAAGTTCACAATATACAATGCCAGCGTAAAAAAAAAAAAAAAAAGCTAAATACTTTCAGCATGCCACAACACTAGCTCTTAAGACATTGTTCCAGCACAGATGGACAGGTGGCCACATAACTTCACGTGTCAACAAAACCTCCTTGGTCACTTCATTTATACTTTGTATATACAGCAACACATGACATCGCGAGAACGTCATTCAAAAGCACTTTTTCTTTTCCCGGTGCAACACCGGGACCACCAGAAGCACAATTGTTATTCACATTCTCTAACACTCAACTTCCATAATCTTTTCACGCGATAAAGGCTGTCGTAGTCTATTGTTAGCCTTCGAGAGTTTGTAGGCTGTTGGAATTTTTTTTTCTTCTTGCACACTTGTACTGTGTTTCGAGAAAGAAAAAGGCGTGGTCGGGTCTTTTCCTTTACTCAAAACAACGAGCAACCAACAAACTCACAGGCAACAACCAACGCTGGAAAACAAAAACAGTGCAAACGCGAGGCTCGACTCCTGTCCATCTTAAAAGAAGTTGCTGAGGAATTAACAAGGTATGGCATACGAAAAATAAAGAAAACAACAGGGAAAAGGAAGGAAGGAACACAACGTCCATGAACAGATCTCGGGGCGGCAACAATTGACACTCCTTCAGCAACGATATGTGCGTGTCCCATGGCGCAAGTATGTCACGATCTTCGGTCCCAAAGCAACAACACGATGAGTCCAAACAAAAAAGAGTGACGGGAAATGATGTCAACAAAATGTAACAACAATGCAATAAGGAGACACTGGAAAGAAAAAAAAAGGGGGGTAAAGGAGAGAGAGACAGTGATTTTGGGAAAAATGGAGCAAGGAGTTCACAAGTTCCTTTCATTCTATGTACAAAACACACTGAAGTCTAAGCACACGCACACTCAGACACTCACGACGCACTTTTGAAATCTAGTCTTGCCTTTGAAACGCGCAACCAGCACGAGCTCCCGGCACTTGGAAGTAAAACAGAGGCAAAAAAAGAAACAGAACGGCTGGCACCGCCGACTAGGGGCCGCTGCTTGAAGCTCTTTCTATTCACAGCACAACAGTGAGTGAGTCGGCACGGAAAAAGCGTCGAGCCGTTGCATCTGCTCGTCGAGAAGCGATCGAGTCGGCCACCCCGGAGCGTAGGCTGGCACGCGCACCCGCCGAACGAGGAACCACGGAGGAATGAAACAAAATCTTTGCCGTCGCTGGAAGAAGATCGTCGGGCGCTGACCGGCAGCGGGCGTGTGGAAAGGGCACTTTCCTCAGCTCTCATCGACCGACACACACTCTCCCTTGCTGTTTGCTTTGTTCACACCGTTTGATGTGGCGACGCACAGTGGGAGCTTTGCGCTACGACGTGGCATTTTCTTTATGTTTTGTTCCTAAAGGTTATGGAGCGGGGCACTTCACTAAGAGTCCGGCTTGACCACCTCAACAGTGCCGCCCCACCGTAACCGGTACAGTCCGGCCCGCCACCGAATCGTCGGGTTCCACAAGGCGTGCAGGAACAGGTAGAGGGCGCCGCACTCTCGGAATGTCCATGCGACCACAAACTCCCACTTGTTGAACGGAAGAAGGCCATTCTGTTTGAGCAGGTAAGAATAAGGGGGGGAGAGAAAACAGCCAAAGAGGTTAAAGACAAGCGGAACAGATAGACCTGGCATTCGGTCATTATACTACACAGTACAGTCGAGACGATCAAGTACGATTGCACGGGCCATGTTTGAATGTCCTGATGCACTTTCGTCTAAAGTTTGAAGTGCACAGCACCAGCAAAGAGCATGTGACAAAACTTGTAAAGATGTTCTTTCCGACTGTTAATGTCCGATTAGAATGTTCACCGAGATGTGAATAAATTTGTCATCATTATGTTAAAGATCTGTGCAGTCATCATCGCCACTCGCCACATTTACAACGTTAGAACAAAGCAGCCGCCTGCTCCTGTTGAAAAAACATTTACCGTGATGCAACTGGCAGCACTTCACACACGTAATTCACACAATTTTGGTCCCCATCAACCACAAGTTCGACTTTACACGTCCGCTTCGCTTGTCTCTACGTCGTGACAAGCGTCCATCAAGAACCGCAAGTACTTCCTCTATGCTTTCTTCGACTACATTATCCAGTTGCTTCATAAGGTTGCATCTAATGAAAACAAGGCCTACCAGTAAATAACCCTTCTCCTGCATAATTAGGTACTTTTTGTACAACGAGCACTTCCTTGCGACGGCATTTCACTGCACTGTCATATTCTGTATGAGGCGTGACGTGCAAGTTGTGACCAGTGAATTACTTTGAAAAACAGAGCTCTGCTATTCCAGTAATACACATAACACCATGCTTTCTGATCAGAGTAATAGTAATACATTGGTTTACAAAGAAGCACTGTGGGCAATCAACTTGGCCACTAGCAAAGTAGGCTGTGCAGCGTACTGCTGCATTATCTTAGCAACTGTTTAATTAGTTTCGGCTTCTTTTTTTTTCGCAAGACATTCTTTCATGGGCCTGTGCAGAGATTGCACGACAGAAAGGAGGTCCGCACCATATTTGAATCCAACATGACAGCACTCTGCAACTTTTGAAAGAAGCTGCACGACTTCCTTAAAATGAAAGCATGGCACAAAAGATACAGCCCAAGAGTGACTAAAATACGAGACTATTCCTCACTGCCAACTGGTGTATATTACAAAATTGAGAAAAATATACACTCGGTACATCACTGGCACACTTGCGGTACATCAAATGGCAAATCCAGTCAAGAGACCCCCTACACATCACGGTAAAGCAACTATAACTCACTTCTTCGCAAAACCCTGGCTGACAGGATTTAAAAAAAAATGTTTCACATGAAAATGAAGAGCACAGACTGTGCCAGCTAAACATCAGTGTTTTTGTGGGGGAGTGTGCTTTAGCTGCTATGCTGAAAAAGTATGGAGGATGGAAAGCTCTTTATTGAAAAAGAGGGAGGCGCATGTCCTCTATGGGGTAAGTGGGACTTTCAAACTATACTAATGTTTCAGCATCGTAGGTTTTGGACTTATTCTATTCGCAATCACTGGTACTGAGGCGGCATGTGGTCATTACTGTGGTTTGTCGGACCCCCTAAACCACATTAACCAGGCCGCTCTGACCTCCATGTTGCACAAATAATAACTGCGTGACCAGGTCTGTAAGGAGCATTTCACAATAATTTGCTGACTGCAAAGCTTGTATGGCCATACGCCCTTTATAAAATGTGGAACACTACCATAGCAAGTGGTGAAGGTCTGCACGGCAGCGCAGCCCGCAGTGATTGCAGGTCACTGTCGCAATGTCCGATTGTCGCCATTTCGCTGAAGAATATGGTGTGCATGCAGAATTTGTGTAGACCTTACTAATGAAGACTTCTTGGGAGCGCGAAAGCGAACACTTGCTGAAAAGAGGACTAGTGGGGTAACCTGCGCAATGCGTTTTTTACCAGCATGACGTATGGATGCGTGCGTTTAGTGCATTGTGGCTGTTGAGGGAGCCATTCGACTTAAGAGCTAATAGGGATTAGCGCTGAGGGGTGGGGGCAGAGAAAGATTGGTCGACCCACCTACGGAAGCAGCAGCGACGTGTGCCGCCGTTATTGTCCCCGAGCACACTTGTAATACACATAGCAGGTCTTTTGACTGGATCCACCATTTGATGTGCATGCAAGTGCACCTGGAACGTACTGTGAACATGTCTTCATTTTTTTTTCTTATAAACGAATTGGTAGTGAGTGCTTGTTTCATTTCTTTGTCGCTCCTACGCTGTCTTTTATGTTCTCTGCTGTTACTGACCATGACACAACTTGCCCAGCAATGCGTTCTATGTAGGGAAGTGTGAACAGTAAATTTTAGATTTAAAAAGAATTCGAAGTGAATAGTGATTTGTAGAATTCGAATCAAATAGTTCAAATAGTATATGCAGACGAACCCACTTACAACAATCCCAAATATAACGATCTATCAGCTATTATGACCATATTTCGGTGCACTTATGATTTCCTTATGCTGCCCACCAAAACTGCTTTCACATATAGCGAACATTTTTCAAAGCCTCCTACTTTTATAATGAACACTTCCAATATAGATACTGTAAAAATATGGCGCATACAAAGCGAAAAAAATATAAGGTTGAAACTGGCATTCTAAAGCATGCGAGAGTCGCACGCTCGCACGTGGACTGCTGCAGTTCACACGCGACAAAGGTGTCACCAACGTCACAATGCACTACAAAGGTCTTCCGTATTTCATCAACGGCAGAGGCTGATCAATCTGTGATAACGACTTCCGAGTGGTTGTAGCCATGCCTTAACAGATAAGCATCCGAAAAGAGCGAAAGCGAGGTGGCTGGTGTCGATGAACGTGCCATTTTGACTCATTGCCTACAACCTTATCCCGGTCATCTGCAGATATCTGCTCGGCTATGAGTGTTTAAACCGTGGGGAATAACGGCAGTACAAGTGCGTTCTGCAGCCGTTTGCCACTTTACTGCCGCCACGTTATGTAAGGCTGCTTGCGCATTGCTTGCAAAGTGTATGTCTATATATTGTATTGAATGAACAGGCTTCTCGCCACACCAGAGCATGATACGAAATGAAGCATGCACGAAAAACGTGCAAATGCGAGCATACATTAGACCGCAACTGGCCGGTTTTGAGACAGCAATAGCAGAGTGAGCAAAATGTTGTACGCAACTAGCCAAGTATTGGTTCCACATGGTGGTACCACCCTTAAGCGGAACGGTGCGAATTCATTGCGAACGTGGTTTAATTCACTCTTTAGCAGACAGCGGGCATTGCTCAACAGGCGGGAAGCCCACCTCAAAACCAGAGGGGTTGTTAGCACTTTTAAATAAATATGCACAGAAAAAAAAAAAAAGGTTTGGTCGCTAAGTTCAGATTTTCAAGGACGAGTCCAAGTACGATAGATACTGATATAATGACCATTTATTGCAGCACTTTCAAGTTAGTCATAAATGGGCTCGACTGTATATCACATATTATAGAGAAAAATGAGCACATCTGTCAGGACAACTAACCTGCACAATATTTTTGTAAAGCTGGAACAAGGAATGTGTGAGTCCAGTTGTGGATTTTACTGGCTAAGTGTTTTCGTGGTGCAGCACTCCTAGCTCCAGTGTAACCATCTATAGAGAAAGATTCCATGTGGCCAAATATATGCATATTCGTTAATTTCAAGTAGTTTAAAATTTTGAATGAATTAAATTTGAGTGATAGCAAATTCGAACGCTGTAATATTCGTTCAAACGATCAAAGTGCTTGAATTTTCTCCCGTGAATATTCTATGGCTTCCTCTACGGCTTCTGTGGTGATAAATGATGCACACACCTGCACGACGCTGAGAAGCATCCAGTCCAACAGGAACCAGAGCAGCAGGTGCAGCAGGTACACGGCGAAGGCGTCCCACTGGAACAGGAAGCTGGTCGCCCACGCAACCAGCGCCCCTAGCAACATGCACTCCGACAGGGGCTCCAGCAGCATCGTGTGCGGCACCATGGCAAACCGAAGCTTGGCCCACCTGCCGTCGTGAGAGACCATTGTTCAAGTGCGAGGTCACACTGTCACTTTGCTGCAATGATGCAGAATGTGGAAATCCGAAGCATTCAGGCGATGGGAAGAAAAACGACTTTTCTAGCACAGTAAAAGCTCGTCAATTTGACCCTCGTTAATTCAAGAAGTTGGATAATTTGGATGCGCTTTGTGGTGCAGGGAAGCATGTGTGTCGTTTAACGATATCGAACTCTCGTTTTGGCAGCTGCCTGGTTAATTTGGTTGATCCTTGGACCGTGCTGGGAACAAAGTGCCACAAATGTGCAACGCAAAGGAGCAAAAGCGGCATTCGTGGACAACTGAAATGGCCAAGGGTCTTCAGAAAAGCACGGTCACCATTTACAATCGTGTTATTGATATGTAACAATGTCTGAGTTCAGAGCACATTTCATGTTGAGACACTAAAATTTTCAAAAGCGGTCATATTGTGAAATGATGTTGTAAATGACAAGGATTGCAGCTTTTATGCTGCTATTATGCAAAATAATTACTATATTTGCATATTTGTTAAAAAGTCAACGAACATTGATGTAATAGGCATTTTGTTGTTTTATTGGTACTTTTGTTAATTTGGAATTCAGTTATTTGATCATTTTTTTCCTATACTATGAAATCCAAATTGACGAACTTTGACCGTATCAGTAAGTTGGCCTACATATATTGAGAGCTTTTAGATTGCACTTGGGATCAGACACCAGAGTAAGAGAAACCACACAAACCCGACTCCTGAAACAACGCATGTGCGCAGTGAGAGTCATGACGTCGTGGCGATAGTGCAGCACCCCCACCAAGGCCCACAATAGTTCTCAACTGGTTAAAATTAACCAAATTGTCCTCCAGGGGGACCAGAGACGAAACTTACCAAGTTTCTAGAAATTTCGTTGAGCCAGTGTGACCAAAGGCCTCTGGAAATTTCGACCATCCAGTGTTCTTAGCATGCACACACAGAGAACAGCACACGGGCTTCTACTGATCTGCCTCCGTCAAACTGCGACCACAACATTTGGGATTCAACCGGCGATCGTCTGGTCAGCTGCCGGGCACTATAACCGCTGCTTCGCCGCGGCGGACTGTACGCGACTTTACTTGTACACCCTGGTTTACCTCTCAGTAAAACACTCCTGCTAACAAGAACATACCTTTCTGTACCCTAGAGGTTCTGTTTAATGAAGGCCTGCTGTACAGCAGCCCATCTAATTTTTCTTTTGTGTGAAGCTGCTTTTCTGTATCTTGGGACAAGTGCTGATTTGCTCATCATAATTCGTGTATAAAGGGAGTAAATGGTAATTTTCTTTTAGAAGATAAACATCAATAAGCACCTGATCTGCACAGACACTCACCTTGCCACACGGGTCTGGAACAGCCCGACCTCACAGAGGCCGGAATTCTGCCACGCTGGCTGGGAGCTAATCCTGATCTTCCAGCCCCTGCATCAAACACCACAGACAAAAAAAAAAAGTATTGGTAATTTAGTAACCTTCTGAGAAGGCCATCAATTTAGCGAGTAAAAAGCTGCCCCATTACAACAAAACATTCTTTTGCAAAAAAAATAATAATAAATGTATTCAGACAGTGCAGTGAAGGCGGAGAGGCTGGTCCTTGACATCAGCAAGCAGATTGATAGTGAGAGCTCACTGTACCAGCCAATGTCACACACTTGGAAAATGTTGAAACTGAAGCCATCCCGAGAAATATTATTATTATTCTTTTTCAATTGGACACATCTTTCAAACTTACCAGCTACAAATACCATCATTATGTGCCACGTCATTTGGTTTCCTGACAAAGCAATATCTAACTTTTCAGCAATGCACTTTAAAGAACAGAACAGTATGATGTGCCATGTTGAGAAATCTGGCACACACACCTTATAAACACGGCCACCATAACCCCATACAAACAACCAACGTAAGCTGCTTCAGATTAGCTTCAGCGAGACACTTCTGTTAGTGACGATTTCAGCCTAACACGACTACTCTAATTATGGTACAACTAACAATTTTATGTTAGGTTTCACCACTTGTCTAAATTAAGTGGAAGGCCCTATGCCAGCAGTCATCGAGAACACTGTAGTGTTAAAAAAAATATCAAACCTTCCCGTGCAAGGGACAAACATAGATGAAGGAATGCCTTTTGTAATGACTCTTTAAGGGTGCGTCAAACTTTTTTCCATAATCTAACCATGCAGCACGGCAAGAGCAGCACTACACATTGCAAACTAATAATGATAATGATAATAATATCTGGAATTTTGCATCCTGAACCCAGGATATGATTATGAGAGGCGCTGCAGTGGAAGGCTCTGGTAATTTCGACCATCAGGTGTTCTGTAATGTGCCCATGTGCCCAGACATCGCACAGTACATGGGCCTCAATTATTTTGCCTCTATCGAAATGCGACTGCGGCAGCCAGGCTCAAAACCGCGATCTCTGGGTCAGCAGCAGAGCACCGTAACCACTGCTCCACCGCAGCAGGCACGCATTGCAAACTGGAGGAAAAAAAAAAAAAAAAATCTCACCAACCTGTCTTCAAAAGACTTGGCAAAGAAGAAGTCCTCCGCCAAGTAGTGGCCAAACGCCCTGATGCCGCCCACCTCGTCGAGCAGCTTCTTCCGCATCAACGCCGACATTCCTGTGGCGCAGTTAATGCGCAGAAGGTCGGCCGCCAGGTAGATGCGCGCGTGCGCTGTGCCAAAGTAGACCTGCATAATAAGTAATACATGTAGGCACATCGGTACAGTAGATGCTGGCACAGTTGGAGCTGCTGTAGATCTTTTTTTTTTGAAACTTCTTAACTTCAGAATACTTGCACGCTCTTAACTCTAGAATACTTGTTGCACGCATTTCATGTTATATCCAGGAACATCAAAATGTACTCCATCTGTCAGTAATGCAAGCCCCTGCTTCCCTAAGACATTTATGTGTTGAGTGAACAACACCTTTATGTGCTGTGTTTCTTAAACTTCTTTTTGCACTGCAGTGTGTGAAAACATTTAGAAATTAACAGAAAACATCTCTTCTGAAAGCGAGGCTTACCCTCAGCCCATGTTTAAAAAAATATCACGAGTTTTCGAATGCCGAAATTTTGATTGTGATGCACATTGATGGGATTGTTACATGCAACTGTATCATTGTGATGCAGTCATGTAGTGCATTGTAAAGCATGCTGTGGCGCACAATTAAATTGATATTTTAAACTTCAAATCTATTTCTCGAGCTCCTTAGCTTTTTCACAAGCACATTTGCACTTAACCTCTCATTGAAGTACAGCTGCCACAACCCAAAATCAAACTGTCAATCTCGTGTTCGAAGCACAATGCCTTAGCTTCTAAGCCAAGGTATAGCGCACTGACGTGCGTGTGTGGTAAACGGAAGATGATAACGAAAGAAATCGACAGTGCCAAGGGACACGTTCAACCATCAGAGCTTGAGTATGTAAACTTGATTGAGAAGAGCAGTGTCTTCAGTTTAATAATGATTCCACTAAGGGCTAGTTGTAGTAGCGGCATTGCAAAGTGAAACGATGCATTGCACAGATCAACCGAGACTAATGACACATAAACACGCAACGGACAAGGACCTTGCACTCAACACAAAATGGGCAAGGACCTTGCGCACAGTCTTCAGCAAGCAACGTGTAAGTTGGTGCCTGGCTTAATGAAACTTCTCTGATGGGGCGATTACGCTGATGTTATGAAATGCAATGCACATAAAATTAAAAATAGTTCGGCAACCGTGGAATAACGATAGTATCAGGTGTCCTACATCCCGAAACAATGACATAATCGTGAGGAGCCCCATAGAGTGGAGAACTTTAAAAGCCTCGACCATCTGGCCTTTTTTAACGTGCACTGACATCGCCTAACACAGCAGTCGCATTTCGCTTCCATCGAAATGCGACCGCCGCAGATGGGAATAGAACCGACGACCTTCAGGTGAGCAGCCGAACACCATACCTGCTACACTGCTGTGACGGACTGCAACGGTGGATGAAGCAACTTAAGATACTTAAAATGTTTGTTTTCGCATACTATCTGGTGTGATGTGAGCTGAACTAAACAATGTTTTAGGACATGTACTGTCAGTATATATGCGAATTAACTGTGAAATCAGAACAGAGCCAAACCTGCAGCTATCGCGCATATGTCTCCTTTCATTCAATTTTCCCACAACTAATAACAATAGCATTTTAGGTCTTGACAGCATCCTAAGATAACTAAAAAGAACATGCACACACACACACGCATGCACACAACTGCACCACTTGAATGTTGAAGGAGTCCGACTTGCCCTCAATGCATAAAATTGGAGGACCCTTAAGCTTCGCCTCTTAGATTTTGACACGATAGCTATATCCTGTCCCTAGTGCATACTTTTTACCTTGTGCAGCCATTTAGGGCACGCTTTTTATTGTAAGATGTTGTCCGAGAACTTCAAATTGTTTTAAAATTTAAATTGTAAATGCATTACAAACAAACGTGTCCTGTATACATGCTTCATAATACACCATAAAATATTGCAGCAATAATGCCAACATGCGATTTTCATAACGAATTCGTGGTTTAAAGCCGGTCACCCACTACAAAAGGCACACACGCTACTGCGCCTATTCCACTAAATCTACGTAGTAGGTGCATAGCAAGTTCGTAAAGGTTTCATGCACTAAGTGGTTGAAGTACGTACTAGGAACACGATATCACTACCACCTTCGAAGCGAAACCTTAGTGTCCCTAGATAGATCGATTTGTGGGGTTTAACGTCCCAAAACCACCATATGATTATGGGAGACGCCGTAGTGGAGGGCTCCGGAAATTTCGACCACCTGGGGTTCTTTAACGTGCACCCAAATCTGAGTACACGGGCCTACAACATTTCCGCCTCCATCGGAAATGCAGCCCCCCCAGCCGGGATATGAACCCGCGACCTGCGGGTCAGCAGCCGAGTACCTTAGCCACTAGACCACCGCGGCGGAGCAACCTTAGTGTCCCATAATTTTGACTAGGATCCCCGCGTTACAACCCATATCAAACGCACAATTGTAAAACACTATCACAAACGGATGTTTATGCAAGATAATTATTGTGAACGCTTGCCTAAAAAACCGAAAGTACCGCAGAGGGCCACTGACCTTTTCTAAAATGGCTGGGAACCCCTTCCTATCACAGGCAAAAGGCATCTGGTGGACCAGGGCCACGTCGTCTGCCATGGTCAGGACCATGTCCAGGAGCGTGTCCTTCTTCACTGAAAATATAACGCACCCCCACCACTTGTAAGAACGCATTCAAGCCAACAAGAAGACAACCCTAGCCAATATAAATGACATGACACGTGAAAATTTTGATAGGAAATGAACCACATGTGACACTGAAGGGGCCTGCAACACTTTTTGAGCATGGTGAGAAAACGCAGCTGATCGGTAGTAGAGGCTCCCGAGAACACGCGAGCCAAATGTTAAAGCGCAGCAAGCGGCCTGGAATTCACAATAAATAATCAAAGTCAGCTAAAATTGCTTTCTCTTCCCTTGACAAATGACGGAACATGCTCAAACATAATTCATAGAAGGCCATCTATCAGCCATTGGCTGACTTGAACATGGCGCGCTCGGTCGTCACAAAGATTGCCATGGGAGGCCGCGGCTAGTCCACGTGTGCGCGCACGATCGCACTGAAAAAGCCGCGTATTTGAAAAAAAAATAGAAAAAAAGTGCTCAAAGTCACGAGGCGCGTGTAACGTATTTTCTTCGCCACTGCCATCCCTCCCTGCTTGGTTTCCAGCGCTTTCGTCGGGACAAGAGAAGAGAGAATGAAATTGCAGCATGCAACAAATCTTTGTAACTCCACTCGCACTGGACGGATTCTTAAAATGTTTGTGGCATTGAATTTGTGAGGCAATAAGCTCTTCCAATAAATTCATTCCATGTTTACTTGAAAAACTGTTTCAAGGCACCCCCCCCCCCCCCCCCCCCCTTTAAGGCCCTTCATTATATCAGATATCCCTTACCCCTTCAATGCCCACATTGAAAATATCGGTACTTGACTGTATTGCGCATTGTTGTAACTCCCACCGCTGCCGACACTGTTGCATAGCGCGCCAAGGTCACGGGCCGCCAAGGTTGTTCGGTAGCGCGTTTTTCAGCTCGCGGCTGCTTCTGCGCAGAGCTGATAAACGAGTGGACAAAACTACGATGAGTTAAGGCAAGGTTTATGTACAGCATAGAAATAGAGGTGTTGCATATTCTGCACTGGGACCGACAGCTTAGAGACATGAAAATCCGAGATGTGTTTGGAGGCTCTAACACCTTCGTTTTCTCTCCGACGCATAGGACGACTGCTTGGCATTGCGCCACTTGGTTCTTTATAGGCCCCAGTTGACCCTTAGATCAGCAACGTCCAATCAGAACTGCCGCTGGATAGCGTCAGAATCCTCCAATCGGGAACCACCGCGCCGAGTTGCGTCCATGAGTGAGTGGTATTGCCACATGTTGCTTAAGACTCGCCAGACTGGATGGCGTCGATTGCATCATCGGGCTACAATCGGGCTCATGGGTTGAGGGAGCTCGCAGTGTGTTGCGTATGACACACCGGCACCGCCGGGCTATACGACGTTTTTGAGGTGATGGCCTCAGGCGGGCTGATTTGCTGGCCTTGACACTGGTTGCCTTTGCAAAAGCAATGACGTTTGGTCTGGACTCCCAGGCATAACAGCATTTGCTTCGATCTCTCTCAAAGTTCACTTGTACACTATTGCATAAAAATATTCATGGCGCATTAATGGGGGGAAAAAACAAGCAATTTTCCCCTCAATCACATGATCCAAGGCAACTTTGCAGTCCCCAAGACAAAATAATACCAACGCACATGCCCTAGTCCGAATAATGTAGCTGAATAGCAAGCTATCTGTAGGCCCAGGCTCCAGATATACTTAGGTTCACAGAACCCCGTAAATATCTGGTGTTGAGATTACCGTTCCATATACAAGGTGTCCCAGCTATCTCTAGCCAGGATTGAAAAATATGCCGACGCACCCTACGATGATGTGACCAAATGCATGTTACTATCGCCTGGAGTTAGTCGCATTTTTTTTGTTTTCTACTTAATTGCCTAATTAAGCATGATTAATTACCGAACTTCTGAAGCAACAAAGCCAGGCATAAATTCTATAAAGATAAATTGTAGATCGGTTAGTGAAATGTCCAATTAGAGAGTTGGTAACTTAATATCTGAATTATTCGTGTTTTCCTGCTCACTACAGATGCCTGTGAAATTTAGAAAAAAGTGATGTGCTTGCTTGCGTGCCTATGCACGCCACGATTGCAGAGCCCCTTGGCATTTGAAGTACGAAAGATATGCTTCCCTTGCAACAGTTCAGGACAGCAATAAGCAGATGCAGCAGTTATCCCTTGTGTTGCTGCAAGAAAAACGCAAGTAACCACACATCCACCCCCGTCGTCGCCGCCCTGCCGAGAAAGCATGCCCGGCCAAATACAGTGACCTTTTTCGCACGAAAGATCTGGGAGCGTGGCAATACAGTGTGCAAAAAGGCATGTTCTGTAGTATTTTCTTTATTATTTCATAGCATCTGTAGTAAGCATAAAAACACTGATACAGTGCACACACCTTACAAGGTAACCGCCTTTGGTACAGGATCGTTTACAACGTGGTCCTTTTCAACTCCCGTTCATGCTACCATAAAACACTATGAGTACGCATACCGCTTATCGTGCAGTTCACCGAGATGAAAGACCAGTTATAGTACAGTTGCCGGAAAATCTTGCTGACAAATGTGAATGCGACTGCGCTTCCCCAAGGAGGAGCACCTCTCGGCAGAGAGTAACAGTGTTGTTACAAAGGACTAGGGGACACGGAAAATGAACAAACAAGAGGTAGAAAGAGGAATACAACAAACAAACAAAAAAGACCGCAGCAGCGGTATGTGTCTGATTTTCTCCACTATCGCAATCAATAGCGCTTTGATCAGGCAAGCTACACAGGCTGTACTGTTCTCAAGCGTTTGTTTTTTTTTGTTTTTTCATTAAGCGCCCCATGCGGTCACTATAAGTTGAAAATCTGATGTCAAATTCTTGTCATAAATGACCAATATGCGGGATATCAGAAACTTTCTTTCAAATAGCAATGTTAAGCGACATTCGATCAAGTTCTCTCTCTCACCCTCATTTCCACCATATGCACTGTCGTGGCCCTTGGGGGACTGCCATATTTACTCTAATATAACGCGAATTTTTTTTCCCCCCTGATTTCCTGCTACAGTCGACCACCTTCGAGTTACAATCGAATAACCAAATACAAGTAGTTTGAAAAGTGCAACAATGCACATGTAAATTTTTTTTTCCTTCCTGAAAGTCGCCCCTCGTGTTGAAATCTTGGTTGCGTTAAAATCAAGTGAATACAGTGAATTCCGCGACTGTGGCTCACAAGCCGAGGCGAGATTGAGACCCCTTGGCCACACTTACGTGACTGGTCTCGAGCATTTTTTTTTATGCGAGGGACACCATGCAGTTACCACGTATTCAGACATAACCATGTAACAAAAAATCCGTTTGCTCACTTGAAAACCAGCTTCCAGATTTTAGTCTTGTGGAGGCCAGTTTCGGTACGTTCCTTGGAACCCGACGTGAAAACTTCGTTGAGAAGTGGGCCATAAATGAGATTTGCAAAATGCCTTTACTCGGACAATAACATTAAAAGAAATTTTCTTCAACCTCCCCTGTACCCTCCCCCCTCCGGCCCTTGGTGGATTAAATTTGGTGATTGAGGCCAGCTAGCTGAACGAGTTTGAGAGCTCTGGTGTAAAATAAAAAGTCAGTTTTGGCCAAAAGGTGATGCCCTGATATACACCCAGACCTCATTATAACAAAGTCACACCTGCCAGGAAAATGCTTCGTTACGTGCTAAAATTCGTTATAAACATATATGTATAGCAATGTATCTATGAGAGAGCTACTCTTCAATTACTTTGTTATAACTGATAATTCGTTATATCCATGTTCGTTGTATAGAGGTTCGAGCACAGTGACAGAAGTGCATATAAAAGCCACAAAATGGCTTGTAATTTGGTATAACCGATACAATTATGATGACGATGATGCCAAAGTCAAGGCAAAAGCACTCACTCCGAATTCCGCTGTCGGAGATCAAGATGAGCTCGTACTTGGCAGCTTCGTAGCCTGGTTGCATATTGTTGATCTTGGGATTTACCCCGACTGGGCAACCCCCTGGGTGAAAAAAACAAAATGTGGCTTATGTGAGAGTTCGGTCACTCCATAGGTATGACAAAAAAGAAAGAATGACTTGTGGTCTCGGCTTGGCTATGGCTTCCACAATCACCATGCACAACACGCACAACTATTTGAGGCACAGAATAAATGCAGTCTCAAAGTGGAGCATACAATCATGGACAACAGGCCTTTTCCAGGTTTTTTTTATTTATTGATTTATTTTACTTTTATATCCGAGGTTTAACGTCCCCAAACCACACTACGATAATGAAGAACACCACAGTGGAGGGCTCCGAAAATTTTGACCATTTTTACCGAGCACAGACATTGTACAGTACACAAGCCTCTACCACTTCGCATTCATCGACCTTCAGGTCAGCAGCCAAGCACTGTAGTCGCTGATCCGCTGAGGCAGACACCTTTTCTGTGTAGGTAGTCTGCGCATGCGTGCCGGTGTCGGCGAGACACGCGCTGTCAGTTTAGGTGGCCGAATCGCGATGAGAATCGCGGACCAAGTGACATTTAAAGTCACGAAAATTCTCATGTCCCCCCCCTCAAAAAGGTGTGAATGCAGGCCTCTCGAGATGGCCTGCGGGCGGGCACGGCAGACAATTGCAGAGGCCAGGGGCCACCAGGTTAGATTTCGGACATCTCCACTGGAGTTGCTGTTCGGACCAAAAAAAAAAAAGAAAAGGCCCATTGAAATATGGAACAGGCTATGCCTAACCAATCCACACTGGCAGGCTTAATGCCGGCGATACTTCACCTTGCCCCCACTTGGTGAGGGGCTGCGGACAATCTTTCTTGACCTTAAAAAAGAGTGTGCTCTCAAATCATTGCTGCACACTTGGCGAGGCGCTGCGAACACCATTTTTCAACCTCGTGAGAGATTGTGCTCTCAAATTATTGCGAGCAGGAGCTGTTTTCCTTTGTGATTTCTTGTTCACATTACATTTTTAAATGGCTGTACATTGTGACTGGGAGAATAAGAAATCCCAGCACTGGAGCCATGCAACACATTCCTTTCGCTCCTACACATATACCTTTTCCATCATCCACTAACCATGCACAATCTTGGCGATAATATAGGACATTTTAGCTCACTGTTTGCTTGCATTATCTCTGCATTATTTTTGGCATTCACAATGTAATTTAGGACAACAGAAAATTTACGCGAAAGCCCTTGCACCACCTAATTATCGACTGTCCATAAATGTGGAAAATTTAAGTAATTTGTTGCAAATAGAACACATTGTAAATTACAACAACAAATTGTCAATACCACATAAATAATCATCAATAATTTGTATAGTCAGCCGTGCTGTATTTCTTCATGAACTGAATTCGATGAACCACTCAAAGTGCGTGAGAGAGTTACCGGCTGGCAGCAAGCATGTTTAATTACCACAAGCTCCATGCTTGCACAGTCTCTTTCTTGCCAACAGTGCACATAATTGGCAAAAGTAAGTTGTGTCAAGAGGATGTCGCATCTCAAAGGAATAAGTAAAATTACTTCAAGCCGAATACTGCAGCATTCAAAGCAGGATTAATTTGAACAAACAGATAGTAGAGGGGATGTTTCTACTACAGTCGAACCTCTTTATAAGAGACACTGATGTAAGAGACAGACAGGCCTACAGAGACACCAGTGGGCCTACAGTAAAATACGGGTTGATGACAAAATGCATACTCAGCCCTATCGGAAAAATTGCCGCGGTGGATACTGGAAAACATGGTGGGCGTAGTGGAAATAATAGTGGGCATGGTGGAAAAAATGGTGAGCATGGTGGAAATTATGATGGCTATGGTGGGACGTAGTGGAAAATATGGTGGTTATGCCGGGACATACTGGGTGGTATGGTGTACAGATGATGAATAAAGTGGAAATGATGGTGGAAAGCAGAGGCTAGATAGTGGGCAATAATGGGACACTCTGCCCACCATTGCGATAATGCTGGGAAGCCCTAAGCATATGGTGAGTGGTGCTTATTATGGTGGGCTACATGGTGTACCAAGCTGAGAAGCTCTGCCCACCATCGCAATAATGCTGGGAAGCAGTAAGCAGATGACGGATGGGCTTATAATGGCGGGCAATTTATATAGTGTACCAAGCTGGGATCTGTACACTACATGTTCTACCACCATGATTTCCACCAAAGGTTAGGCCTACTGACCGAGCCCGTACAATTGTGTTATCTGTGCTTCCGGGTTTCAGAATACACGATTACAACGATTAAGCATGACAATACAGCGCAGCCATGGAATCAATTAACCTAAATGAAGCATTTTTCATTGTGTATGGTGTCCGCTCAAGAAGCAACAAACATCGATGCGACGCAATTAAAGCACTCCCAGAGAACGTAATTAAGTGTCTTCTCACCAACAGCCGCCGGTCGCACTCGCCGGCACTTCTCTAGCTTTTGTACGAGAACTCGGACGTGGCAATTCGTGTGCTTGGTGAACCAATATGATAGCGTAATGTTTCCGGCACACTGCATTCGTTTTGGCCAAGCCGTTATGTAGTTGTTGCTTTAGCGAAAGAGCTACAGCATTGCGCTGGCGCGACCACCCTCTACATTGCGCGAAAAGCATCCCAATACTCAATCAAATAAATTCGGCGGGCGTATCTATGGAATGAGCCTAGAAGCGTCATAAAGCGTGAGCAGATGTCGCCCTTTAGAAGGAGCGCGAAACGGATATTAAACTTGGCAGACCCCGCCGGTAAACTGTTGCTGCTCCCCAGTCCACTTGGTTTTTTTTCTTGAAGTTGTGAATTGTAAAAAAAAAATAGCACTAGTGCCATTAACATAGTGGCAATCGTTACAGGCCGCAGTTGCTTGTGTTCAATAAATGTGCAATTTTTAGTAGCAGGTGTAGATGTTGTCTATGTTGTGTACACGACAAACATAACTTAAGTTGAACCTTAAGTTTGTATGCCAACTAAGCATTTAACACACAATCAACGTCATGTTGGTGTGGCCGAGTGGTTAGCGTCTTCCAATGGGAATCCGCAGGTTGCACGTTCGATCCTCCGTGGCGCCTTGTTTTTTTTTTTTTACGGGACGTGTGTTTTTTATACCGTTTTTATAGAATTTTTTTTTAATTTTTTGTGGCAGCTCGTCACGGTGATTCTGACGTCATTTTGCGCTCAAGTGTTGCCGGTACTGCAGCACCCACCATACCCACCATGGCGCGTGGTTTACACCATGCCCACCATTCGTTTTTTTCCGATAAGGTGTTTATAAGAGACATCTCATATGAAAGAAAAAAACTGCTGCACAGAGCCTGCCTTTTGTAAAGAGGTTTAACTCTAGTTATGATGTAAATGTGAGCAAAGTAAAATGAATAGAAAGATGACCGCTGGCAGGGACCGAACCTGCGACCTTCGAATAATGCGAGCGACGCTTTGCCAACTGAGCTAACGTGGCGGTAATACCCCCTTCAACTTTACTGGGTATGCATGTACATTTATATTCTGAGCATTTCTCCATTACCTGATTCATATTATGAATGTTGTCGATTGTTGAGCAGCCTGTTCGAAATCCTGCTTGTTCCTTTGGTTGATTGAATTCTAATGTTTTCTTTACTCTGTTAGCAATTACCTTTGTAAATAGCTTGTATACTACAGAGAGCAAGCTGATCGGCCTGCAATTCTTCAAGTCCTTGTCATCTCCTTTCTTATGTATTAAGATGATGTTAGCGTTCTTCCAGGACTCTGGTACTCTTCCCGTCAGGAGACACCTCGTAAACAGGGTGGCTAGTTTTTCTAACACAATCTGTCCTCCATCTTTCAGCAGATCTGACGTTACCTGATCCTCACCAGCAGCTTTGCCTCTGCATGCTCTCTAAAGCTTTTCTGACTTCTTCTATCATTACTGGTGATGTGTCATCTGGGTTACTGCTAGTTCTTATAGCATTAAAGTTGTGGTTGTCCCGGCTACTGTACAGATCTCTGTAAAACTCCTCCAATATTTTAACTATCCTTTCCATATTGGTAGTTATTTTGCCTTCTTTGTCCCTTAGTGCTTACATCCGATTTTTGTCTATCCCAAGTTTCCTCTTCACTGCTTTGACGCTTCCTCCGTTTTTCAGAGCGTGTTCAATTCTCTCCATGTTATACCTTCTTACATTGCAAACCTTATGCCTATTAATCAACTTTGAAAGCCCTGCCAGTTTTATTTTGTATGTTTTACATGAGACTTTCACGATTTGACGCTTCTTAATGAGATTCTTCGTTTCCTGGGAAAGCTTGCCAGTGTCCTGTCTAACTACTCTGCCTCCAACTTCCACTGCACACTCTGTAATGATACTCGTCAGATTACCATTCATTCTATCTACGCTAAGGTTGGTTTCCTCACTAAGAGCCAAGTACCTGTTCTGAAGTGATACTCTGAATTCCTGTACTTTCCTTCTTGCTTATCAGCTTCTGTCGTTCCTTCTTCAAGTCTACACAAATTCGAGACCGTACCATCCTGTGGTCACTGCATCGTACCTTGCCAACCACTTCAACATCCTTTACGATGCCTGGGTGTGCACTCATTATAAAGTCTATTTCGTTCATATTTTCGCCATTAGGGCCCCTCCATGTCCACTTGCCGTTTCTTTGTTTTCGGTAGAATGTATTAAAAATTTGTACAAAATTGCGTTCTGCTACCACATTCATACTATCAATCAGGTAATAGAGAAATGCTCAGAATATAACCAACCACTATACATAGCCTTCGTAGATTACGAGAAGGCGTTTGATTCAATAGAAATAGCAGCCGTCATGCAGACATTGCGGAATAAGGGTGTCGATGAAGTATATGTAAGCATCCTGGAAGAAATCTACAGGGGATCAACTGCTACCATAGTGCTTCATAAAGAAAGCAGCAGAATTGATGATTTGTGGGGTTTAACGTCCCAAAACCACTATATGATTATGAGAGACGCCTAGTGGAGGGCTTCAAAAATTTCGACCACCTGGAGTTCTTTAACGTGCACCCAAATCTGAGCACACGGGCCTACTACATTTCCGCCTCCATCGGAAATGCAGCTGCCGCAGCCGGGATTCGATCCCACGACCTGCAGGTCAGCAGCCGAGTACCTTAGCCACTAGACCACCGCGGCGGGGGAAAGCAACAGAATACCAATCCAGAAGGGTGTAGTGTAAGGCAGGGGGACACAATCTCCCCAATGCTATTTACCGCGTGCTTACAGGAGGTTTTCAGAAGCCTAGAATGGGAGCAGTTAGGCATAAGAGTTAATGGAGAGTACCTTAGTAACCTGCGCTTCGCCGACGACATTGCATTGCTGAGTAACTCAGGGGACGAATTGCAACTCATGATTACGGAGTTAGACAAGGAGAGCAGAAAGGTGGGTCTTAAAATTGAGTTGCAGAAAAAGAAAGTAACATACAACAACCTCGGAAAAGAGCAGTGCTTCGAGATAGGTAATAGTACACTTCAAGTTGTAAAAGACTATGTCTACTTAGGGCAGGTAATAACCGCGGAGCCAAACTACGAGATTGAAGTAACTAGACGAATAAGAATGGGGTGAAGCACATTTGGCAAGCACTCTCATATTATGACAGGTAGATTGCCACTATCCCTCAAGAGGAAGGTATATAACAGCTGTATCTTGCCGGGACTTAGCTATGGAGCAGAAACCTGGAGACTTACAAAGAGGGCTTAGCTTAAATTGAGGACGACGCAGCGAGCAATGGAAAGAAAAATGGTAGGTGTAACCTTAAGAGACAAGAAGAGAGCAGAGTGGATTAGGGAACAAACGGGGGTTAGGGATATCATAGCTGAAATCAAGAAGAGGAAATGGACATGGGCCGGGCATGTAGCGCGTAAACAGGATAACCGCTGATCATTAAGGGTAACTAACTGGATTCCCAGAGAAGGTAAGCGGGTTAGGGGGAGACAGAAGGTTAGGTGGGCAGATGAGATTAAGAAGTATGCGGGTATAAATTGGCAGCAGCAAGCACAGGATTGGGTTAACTGGAGGAACATGGGAGAGGCCTTTGTCCTGCAGAGGACGTAGTCAGGCTGATGATGATGTGCATTTAAACAAGGGAGTGTTACTCAACGCTGCCAGTAGCCATGACGGCGAGTGTGGTGCACTTTTTCCGCCTGCTGGAATCACGTGCTTCGTGATTCTTTGTGTCTTTTTTTACAAGCTGGCAGCTGACTAACAGTCTCTCGCACACTATTCGAGGCATCTAGTCTGCCAAAACGAGACCCTCATGGCAACTAGCGGTCGTCATGACTACTTGTACCAGAGACTGGCAGTCATGGCCACAAGCGGCGCTGAGTAACACTTCCAGGTTTATAAAGTAAACGGGGGGACGGCTGCCACTGTAGCTCAGTTGGTAAAGCATTGGACACGTTATTTGAAGGACACAGGTTCAATACTTGCGTGATGCAAGTTGTCTTTTCGTCCACTTAGTTCACAATTACATCATAACTACAACCAACAACATCCCCCATACTTCCATTGCTTTTCATATCTACTAGTTCCAACTAATCTTGTGCCTAACAAAAAAAAGAGCCATTAGTATTCAAAGCAGAGAAGGTAGAAGAAGATGAGGGGGAGACACTGACCTACAAAGACCCTGGCGTCGACCAATGGGTGCTTTTCCATCAGTCGTCGCACCAGCATTATGGAAGGATCCCCTTCATCTTGGATGCAGAACAAAAGCTCAAACTGTGAGAGAGAAACAAACAAACAAAAACATTGGAGCACATGGGAGCACCTGACACAACAGAATGGTATATTCAGAAAAAACACTTGACATTCGAGTTTCACAATACTTTCCTCGCACTTGACGATGCAACGCCCTAAAGCGGGTGTTTGCGAGCCTCATGACCTCAGGCTTGGAACTACGTTGGTTTTCGTGGCAGGCCGGGAAAGAACATGTTTTTTTGCTTGCCTGCATGCATGGCTGCATAAACATTGAAAGGCCACGAGAGCCGACTACTTCAGGTGACGCTTATTTTGAAAACCAACTCTATCAAATATTTATGCACGACCCAGCGGAAAAAAAAAATCTAAGGTATGCACCGACAGCAGCCATTCGCCACATTTTCACTATCGTTCAGGAACTTTTATAGTTGTTGTCAGGTTTACTCATTCTTGGCAGGTAAGGTACATGCACAAGTTTTATTTCCATTTTTATAGGGTTTTGCAGTGTACATGCATCTTTTCATAATTTCAAAGATACATTATTGCCGAGCTTATGCATGTAGCTTGCAGCTTTACTCACTGATCATGAAAAACAGTGCTGTTTATTTTCTTCCTTCTAGTCCAAAAATAACCTTTTACTGATGTTTTATTGTGTCTGTCCTTTCCACTGACGCAGGATTTACGAGTTGTGCCTCTATAGCATCCTTCAACACTTGAATGAAATATGGAGAGGAGAAAAAAAAGAGTGCACTTGTTTTTGTCTGTCATTGTGGTGATAGAGTCCACAGCAGCGCAAAAACCAAGAATGAGAATTGGGAGCCAATTCGCTCAGTACAGCGAGACAACACGCTTGAAAAACGGTGCTTTGCAAATATTTTTGGCTAGTGGGTGAGTTATTTTGTACTGTACAGGTAGAGCATGCACTGATTTTTTCATGCGCAAATTGCCGGCTGTCCACATCTCCACAGTACTCTTAACAATTATTATTAACCTGCCGCGGTGGTCTAGTGGCTAAGGTACTCAGCTGCTGACCCGCAGGTAACGGGATCAAATCCCGGCTGCGACGGCTGCATTCTCGATGGAGGTGAAAGTGCTGTAGGTCCGTGTTCTCAGATTTGGGTGCGCGTTAAAAAACCCCATGTGGTCGAAATTTCCGGAGCCCTCCATTACGGCATCTCTCATAATCATATTGTGGTTTTAGGACTTTGCCACATATAAATCAAATCATCAATTATTATTATTATTATTATTATTATTATTACAAGTGTAACATATGTGATGATAAAAGTGATAAGTCGTTTCCAGATGCCTGATTATTGGAAGAACGTAATTAATACTGTGAGCAAAATGCTGATGAACTCTTGGACATCCATAATACCAGTGCTGTTTTCATATAGTATGGACAGGTTGATCTGCGCAGGCATGCAGAAACAAATGAGTATGACTGCCTATTCTTCTCCAGTTCTCAAAATTTTAATAAACTACCTACACAGGAATTGAAAATATTTCAAACCTAAAATTTAGTGAAACCATTCTGCACATTAGTGGGATATGCACAGTGCTCTCTTTCGAGGAAAGAAAACACAGGTAATAATCTGTAGTACATCAGTTTTCCCAAATTTTCCTGGAGCTGATACATAATTTCTAAAACACAAGATTCGAACAGAGCTTTTAACAACCAACAAACAGTTAAAGTAAAATTAAAAGACTTGAGTCTATTGAGCAAATGCATAAAAAGTGCTAGAAAGTCATATAGTGATCACGACAAACACATTAAATACAGCTTAAACACATTGACACAAACACATTAAATACAGCCTAAAATGAAAACAGAGCTGAATTAGTTGGTACACATTCATAATAAAAGACCAGACAAGAAAGTAGCCAAGACAAGGAAATGGCAGTTTTGGTCTCCTGGCTTCCCTCTGACATTCGTGTTTGAATGCCCAGCATTTTTAATAAAAATATGTTTTGGCTTCCCGGTTGGGTTCCTTGCTATATATTATGGTCAATGTCCTTTTTTCTATTTTTCATCCCAGTGTCTCAAAAGAGAGAGGCTTCCGTCAGAATCTAGACTTCAGGTGCATAAACAACACCCGTGAATACCGATTCCATCTCACCACAAAAGCCGCCCCTCGTAAGTCTACTACACAAACAAACCACCTTCCACACCGACAAAGGCGCAAGATGTTTACGTTGCGCAAAGGTTCGAACAACGCAAAACTGTGACCGCACAACGCAGCACTGCTGACGCCACGTCGTTGCGTCAGCTTCCAAAGTCTTCGAAAACGACCACCTCCGCTGTCGCACCTGATAAGCTCGTGAACTCAGCGGGGTTTCGCAAGCCCTTATCGGGTCGGGTCAGTGTCACCGGTGGGACGACTTCCTGGCCACACACGTTTATAACAAAATTACGTGGGTGTGTCGTCGCAAATTTATCTCGCGTGTCTCAAAGCGAAGTCACAGATGAGAATAGATTGTGTGCTAGCATAATTTCTAATGGCTGTCGGTCGAAGGATTAAAAGGGTACTGCTAGATTCCAATAGCGAATTACTTTAAAATGCTCAGTGTCAAAGGTGTGTGAATATGAATCCCGACGAAAGATGATGCCGATAAGTTATGTTGGCACAATCATTCCAGCTACGAATTTTCTCATTATCCTCTAAATAAGCATACACTCTAACCTCCTTATAACAAAGTTGCATCTTACAGATACATTATATCTAAAAATTTGTTATAACGATATATTCCTAACACTATATTTATTGCAATGTTACTTTCAATTCACTTCGTTATAACCAATATTTTGTTATATCCAGGTTCATTATATAGAAGTATAACTGTAGTGTTAATAATAATTGTACATGCCCTCTTAGTCAACTTTATATGGATGCACCCTAGAAGAATTAAGTCAAAATAAATAAATAATGAAGGCCTGTATAGTAGAGCCGTCAGTGAAGACTTTGTGAAGAATAACTAAAAAATACAGAATACCTGAAATTACAAACACAAAATACTACAAAGAAGACAACTAAAGCGTACACACTGAAAAAGAGGAAACAAAAAAGAAAAAGAAAAAAAGAAAATGGAGACCTAGGTGGCGAGTTTATCTTGTAGTATAGGCAATTAGTGGAACTGATTTAGAACAAGGAGCCCGAAATAGTAACATTCACAATAATATACATAATCGTATTCCATGAGACTCGATACGTTATTTGAACGAAATATTCAAGCACAGTAATTATCAAATTGGGCTGATGTTTTCCCAACAAAGAATTAGCTCCAGCATGCCAGAAAACGCTACTGTGGGTTCTCGAATGAGCTTTCAGCACTCGAATCATCACTGAAAGGTATGAACTTTGAACTGTACGAGCCTGAAGATTTCGCAAAGCTACAAGCATTCTTACATATAACTAATTATTGAAATCTTATCACATGGCTGTTCTTCACGTCTGTTTCACAAGTATAGACTAACTAATAATGAACTAAATTATACTACCTACCTAAACTACTAACTACTCAGCTAAGTATGTAGATAATAGACTCTGCTTTGCCTTAATAATGCCAATAAAAGCCCAATGGCAAGTGCCATCTATATGCAGCATTCAAAATTCTCTGTGGGCAAATTTCGCTGCCATTCTATTTTTGTAACCTTATTATTAAAGCCCAGCAGGTGGCACATCAACAGTGCACAAGGCAGTTGCTAGCATCTGCCCTCCTGCTAAAGGTATTTTTTTTCTCTCGCACTCCTTTGTCTGTTGTCCGGGCACGCTTCACGCTTGACAGGTTGTCGTGCATCGTTTGATCCGCTCTCTTCGTCGTCTCTTCGATGCAAAACAATGCAGCCTGTGACGTTGCTCAGTGCTCTCGAAGGAGGCTTCAGCGTGGGAGTGTGACAAGAGTCGAAAGCTTGGCCAACCCGTTCGAAGCAACAAGCGGCTACCAATAGTATTGCACTCGCAGCGGTCAAGTCATTGATACGTTAACTGCCTTATGTGCCAAAACAGCGATATCGTCACTCGGCCGCGACACTGTGGGACACAGTATCGAAGGCATTGAGAGTCGAACGACTTACTTGACTTTCAATGCCTTCGACTTTAAGGCTGTGCCCCGCAAAGCAAGCGACTCGCACTGCAAAATGATAGCGGTGAGCATAGTTATCGGTAGTCGGAAAAAGATCTGATTGGCGGAGGATTGAGTCACCTTTCATGAATGCATCACAGTATGTCCCAGTGTTATCACTGATGCATGCGCGCTATCTAGAAGGTGCTCAAAACAAATGCGTCAGGCATGCAATGTTTGTAGAACAATTATAGCCATTTGTAAAGCAGCATGCAAGTTGAAGCCCGGTCTGCGCCGAGCAACGAAAGCGCATCACGAGAAAGTAAAAACGATGGCTGCCATGAAAGAAAAGAAAACAAATACGCATATCAGTATGACTGTGAGGCATGCCATAGTGGGACATTGCGAGTCCCAATAGTAAAAGGAGTGCTAAAGAAACAGATTGCACAGAGTGGGAGAATGCATGATAATCATGCACTGGCAACAGAAGGTCCACTGCTGCAAAACTAATATCAAAATACGATATAAAAAAATGGGGAGCAGGAAAACATTCACCACATACGTGGCCTAGCAAAGCATTACTTGTGTGCTAAAACCCTCAAAGAGGCCCTTCAACATATTTAGAGCACTGTTCAGAAAACAGCTGTCAATAGGTAGTCGAGGCTCCGAAAACACAAGAGCCAATTATTGTAGCGCGCTCCCGGCCTGCAATTCTCGATAAATTCTCAAGCTTGGCTAAAAATCACTTTCTCTTCTGTTGTGAAATGGCGTAGGATACCCAAATCATTGCGTAAGAGCCATTGTATCAGCCAGTGGCCGATTTGAGCAAGGCGAGCTTGTTCTTTACAGGGATCGCAGCGGGAGGCTGCGACTTGTCCACGCGTGCACATGCGATCGCACTGAAGAGCCACATATTCAAAGAAAAAAAAAGAGAGAGAAAAAGTGTTCAAGGACACATG